ATTGCCTAAATCCTAAACCCTAAACCCTAAGCCCTAACCCTAAACCCTAAACGCTGAAACCTAAACCCCGCATGTTTTCGAAGTCTTCCGCCAACTTCCGTATCCTGGTGAAAATGAAGCCCCCTCCAGCACTCTACGGCCGGTGGCCTGAAACCAGATGGATCTATCATTAGGGTTTAGGGTCTAGGGTTTCGTGTTTCGGGTTTAGGGTTTAGGTTCTAGGATTTAGGAATTTAGGGCTTAGGGTTCAATGAGCTTTAAACTTTAAATGCTTCCAGGATAAGGCCGGAACAAAAGGGATGTTTTGCAACCTCTTTCGTCTCCGGCACGGGACCTTGGCTTATCACGAGCAGTGAAACAGGTCTGGGTAACCCAGATGCCGAAACAACAATGCGTGGTATCAAAGCGTTGTGCGCTCAAAGCCTGCTGGATGTGCTGCTTCTCGAGGAGCACTGGCTGGAGGCCTCATCTTCAGCCAGGGCCCTCGGGGCCCTCATGTGCCCGTCTGGGCTCGAAATGACGATGTTTCAAGTTGGGTCGGGCGAGGAAACCTCATCACCTGCTTGGACTTGGCCGACGTCTCCACTTCGGCAGAGCGACGCGAACTCAGCTCGCGGGCCATCACAGCGGCATGGCTGGGTGCCTGCACTTCTGGGCGGGGTGACCTCATGACCCGCCTGGGCGTCTTGGTTACTGAGGGTGGGCTAAAGGCCTCTCCTTCGGCAGCATGAGCCCCCATGTGCTTGAGGGCTTGCGTCACGGAGAGTTGGCTAGATTCCTCCACTTCGGCAGAGAACGGCAACCTCATCACATGCTCGGGCGTTTGAGTCACGCAAGGTTGGCTGGATGCCTCTACTTCGACCGAGCAAGGCGCCCTCATCACATGCTCGGGTGCTTGAGTCACGGACAGTTGGCTATAGGCCTCTACTTCAGCAGGGTCATGCGCCCCCGTGTGCCTGCGGGTTTGCGTCACAAAGGGTTGGCTGGATACCCCCACTTCAGCAGAGAACGGTGCCCTCACCACGTGCTGCTGGCTGCATGCCTCCACTTCGACAGAGCAAGACGTCTGCACCACGTGCTCGGCTGTCTCGTTTATGAAGTCCTTGTCGTCCCTGGGAGGGGATTTCAGCAGTTCCATCGCACCTTCTGCAGTCAACTCTTGGGTGTTGGAGGCCGCCGTGCTATCAATTTCCACTATATATATATATACATGCATCTCTTCTTGTGAAAATCGGACGCTTGGACCATCCGGAGGGGCCGTTTGCGTCTCGCTGATCCCGGAAACAGGAAGAATTTCATCTAAAAGTGTCACCTTGAGGTCCTTTGTCCCGTGGTACAGCGGAATGGACCCATGGAAACCATCTTGGAGCTGGCTCCCCTGGAGGAAGCCCGAGGCGAACAGCCTGCGCTCTCGCGACAATGTATCACTGGAGGTCTGTGCTGTTGGCCTGTAGATGGAGATGATGAGAATCTGGTGCTGCTCAACCCGAAGGGCTTGAGGCGACCAGTAACCTCCACTTCCCGTCTCCAGCACGATCATGTCCTGGCTGCCTGCAACATGACAAATGACCACCATCTCTGAAGAGTCGCGAACCTGGAGCATCTCAAGCGTGGCGTCTGGGCACGAGACCCGCTGGGCGCGAAGGTGGACACCATCCTCTTGCCAATTCCGGTTGGCATCCTTCATGGTGGCGTCAACATGCCGGAATCGCAGCCAGCAGTCCATCGCAAAGGCCACGAACAGGGCTTGAGGAGCACGCTCCGGATGATGCTAGTCAGTGCACTGATCAACCACTTGTCGCTATCCGACGGCGCCACGCTGGCAATGAACACGGAAACAACGTACAAGCAGAAGGAACAGTAGAGAGCCAGGAAACTCCAGTAAAAGATCGTCAGCCGGTTCCTGGAGATAGCAATCAGCATCACTAACGGAAGAGATCCCACCACGGTCGCCACCCAGGAGACAACCACGGATCGAAGAACCACCTGTAGAAGATCCTCCTTGGGCTCACATTGTGGGCCCTGGCCTGGGGCCAGGGCAGTGGAGCCGAAGAACACGGCCGAGACAGCCCAGCCAGAGTAGAACTTCGAGATCAGGGCCCCCGCGCGTTGGCAGCATGTGGCCGACAGGCGGGGTTCCAGGATGAGGAATGGCGGACGAAGCCCTTTCGTGGGCTGTCGTGTAGCCATAGTGCCGCCACATTCCGTCCAGATTCTTCAGCTTCAAGCCGGTACTTTTTCTCACAACGGCAGAGGTGATCCTCCGGCTGATGTCGATGGATGGGAAGTGGAAGTCAAAATGCAAAGCCAGGTCCTTCCTGATAGCTTCCTGCCTTGACTGGCATATCGCATGGGCACTGTTCGCCTCGTGCAGAATGCGTAGGTAGTCCTGCTCACGTTGATCCACTTTTCTGGCCACCCAGAGGAGGAAAGCACCGGTCGCCAGCATCGTCCAGGTCAGGAGAGACGGCGGCAACCCGGCCCACTCCAGTTGCCCGAGCGCTGCCAGGCCCTCTGGGGAGAAAATGGATGCAGCATTGGAGCAAACGAAGGTTGAAACGATGGCATCCACAATGACTGCGAAAATCAAAAGGTGCGTGGTGGTGCAAGCGATTGTCCCATCAGCCTCATTAACCACAAGCGTCGTGATACCCCGGGTGGACCATTCTTCCATCTCCTCATCCCAGAACTTGCAGGTCGCCCCAAGGAGGCCTTTGCTGCCATTGACCATGAAGGTCAGTGGCCTCGGGAGCGTTACACGCCCAGTTTCGGCAACCAAAAATCGTCTCTTGGGTTTCTTATTGCATTAATATATGGGCCCCCACAAAGAAACAGCACGATCAAAAGCGTTCCTAAGAAGGCTCCTGAGCCCTCAACCCTAAACCCTAAAGCTCCCGAGCCACATCCCTACAGTCAGCAGAAGTGGCTCCCTGAGCTCTCGGATGCGGATCGCAGCCGCCAGCAGCTCCGCCTCGGACCCCGGGGCCCCGGCCCGGAGGAGTGTGGCCACTGCCTTGGCTCTGGCCCCTTAAGAATAGGGTTTAGGGTTTAGGATTTAAAGTTTAGGGTTTCGGGAAGAAGGCTAAGGGCGGTGTAAGGTTTCGGGTTTGGGGTTTCAGGTTTAGGGTTTAGGGTTTAAGGTTCATAGTTTAGGGTTTGGGGTGGCCCGAAGTAGGTGCTTGAGGCCGGGCGGACATCGCGGGGCTGCGCTAGAGACGTGAAGCTTATGTAGGCAAAAACCGTATTGTTCAGTTTGAGCGGCCACGACCACTTCTCCCTTTCTAGGGTCGGACCGCTTGTGAGGCTTTCCCCAGACCGTGTTCTACGAAGCAACAACCGACAGCGAGTTTGGGATCGCTTGAGGGATATTATGAATCGGAACGGAAGATATCATGTTGTATCCCGTTGGCTGGTTCGGCTCTTGGTCTTTGGGTTGAAGAGCTCTAGACTCTTCCTCGACCACCTTCATTTCATGGATATGTCTATGTGGATGATCGATTGCTTGTTGCCGATGTCACTAAGTCTTTTCAACTTTACTCAGAGATGGGATACCGGTAGGGGTGCTGTGACCCAACCCAAAACCATCTCTTTTGGTTTTGGGCCTCTTGTTTAGCCCCTCTGAATGGAGTGATGGTTCACCTGTTAGAATTGGCCAAAGGGCTGCTTATTTGGGGACGGCCCTGCTCACGAAGCAATCTGCCAGGGACACGTGCAATAGGGATGCCGTCTCCGTTTGCATTTTCATGACGCAACGCATTGTTCAAGCTGGTAGGTTAAACCCTTCCATGTCCACTATGTTGTTGCCGCCATTATGACAAAGCTTTGTTACCCGGGCCTTGTTCGCAGACTCACGGTTAAGCAGGCCAATCGGATCAACAGTGCCACTCCTTGGTTTCTTTTTCGTACGCCTGTGGCCAATCGCAAGGCTGGTTTTGCCTGTGCCAAAGCTCACTGTCTTGATTTCAGAACGGTTGCCATTTACTCCTCTCTGGCCACGTGGGAGAGGGTGTTTTAATCAAAGCAAGTCGATTTTATTCGACTTTTTCAAGAAACAAAAACCCAAATTTAGAGGCTACGGATCCATCTCCGTTTTGCAAGATACTGCTGCCCTGCGAGGGTCTCTTTATTCCAACCTTCCGGCCTGCAATGATGGCGGTGGCACGACTGTCTGGCGTCTTGGGCAGACGAAGGACACTCTCCTGCAGCATAAAATGCGGGATGCTGCGCGCCGCATGTTGACGCTGCAACGTGATGTTGCTGGTGCTAGATGGGGGGGGGGGTCCCGCCAAGTGTGATTTTAACCACGCTACTCAACTCATCACTGATCCGTAAATGGATCAGCGTCCTCAAAGATGTGTCTTCTTTCGTGCTCTTACTAATGGGCATATTTCCCCTCTTCGGCTCTACTATGCTAAGCTCCGAAGATCTCCGCAATGCGCTTATTGTGGACATGAGTGCCCTGATCAGGTGCACATAGTTTACTATTGCCCTTGTTTTTGCACGTTTCGCGCTGAATGCCCCTTTGCTAAATGGTCATTGAGCAGTGGCCTCCATGCACGCGGCAATTTTCTTATCTGTGCGGAGGCTCTTCCTCTTAATGTTAAAACAGATGGTCTTATTTCCAAACATGGGCCTGCAGTTTGCTGGCTTTGTGGTGTCATCTTCAAAGGGAGTTAACGCAGTCCCTCAAGATGACCTCCCTCAGGCTTTTGAACGTATTTGCATTGCTCCCCCGCCTCTTGTGTCTGGGGACTCTTCTTCTCCTTTTGTTTACCCTCATTGTGGTTGGGGGCATGCTCCTCCTTGGATACTATTCAGTACGATATTCTGGTGTGTGAAAACTAAAGAGGATGCCATCGCGAAGTGCAATAAATGTCTTTGTTTTCAAATCTGCCGGTGGAAACAGCACATACCAAAATACACTGCTGATATTTGACACCAAGAAGAGAGGGAAGAGAGAGACGTGTTCTCCGAATGGGGTTGTTTGATTGACGTGAAACCTATGCAGGCAAGCAAACAACCCTGAAATGCTCCAGACCAGTAAAGCATAGCTCCAAGTGCAGCTGGAGGATGCGCTCTGGGAGGTGCGAAAGCAGGGCCTGCAAGTCTGCGTCGCGGAAGCGAGCGCAGCCTGCCAACTCAAGGTTGACGGTGGTGCGTAGTGAGTCTGCACGCAGGGCATCCAGCAAAGCCACTGCATCGCCTTCCGAAAAGCCGTTTGGCAGGCCGTGGAGTGCAAAGAGTGATGCCAAGGCTTTGTTCACCACTGCATAGTTGCCGTGCTGCTCTGGATAGCTGTGGTTGAGGGACAGCGTTTCGGAGCGTGGAAAAGCAATGGAGTTGAGAATTCGGACTTTATCAATATCCTGCGAAGCCCGCGCGGTCTCAATGTCCACGCCCAGCCCTTGCTGCAGTAGATGGACTGGGAAGTTTTTCTCGCGCTGGGACTTGGCAAACAGGCCCAGCAGCGGGAGGACAGAGGCTTCTGCTCCGGCCAAACCTTCAAGAAGAGCCGTCAGTGACAGGGCTATGTAGGGTTTTAGTCCACATAACTATAGTTGAGGCTGCCCACTTTCATAGAGGGTGCATGCATGCAACTCTCTGAATTTCCATCCGAGTACCATCCGTAAGCACGTGGGCCGAGCTTTGGTCTGCTGCAGCCACGTCCCGGCACAGGGTAGCGGCATTTTCAACCTCCGAAGGGAGATCGCGGGTATGGCATTCCCTGGCTTTAAGGCTCTCTGACCGAGGGCACGGCAGCAATGCTTTCTTCGAAGCAGCACCAAACACGAGAGAATGGCGTTGCCTGGGATAGCGGGCATGGTTTTGGTCATGCTGTTGATGCTGATGATGAAGATGGTGCAAAAGGGAAGAATGAGGATGGTCATGGTGATGTGGTGACACAATATGTCAGGAAGTTGCCATTGAATCCAAAACCAGCAGGACTCCTTGGCACAGCTGCATGGCCTCAGTGACAGTTGCGGGCAGGGCGGCAAAACTGCTTGCGCCTGTGCCGCCCGCATGTGAAGCAAGACTCTCTACCACTCTGATCCACGTCCAAACTTCCAATGCTCCGCACAGTCCAGATTTCCCATGCTCCGCGCAACGTGACTTATACCCCTCAGACGTACTGCAAATTGCTGCAGGCCTGGTAGAACGAAGTTTTCCGGGGGTTGGCGGAAATCGCCTCTTCCAGATCCTTGCAACCAGAAAGGCACGAAGATTGTCAATCTTCGGGAGTATGAAGGTTTTGACAAAATTCGGCACAAGGTTTCCTTCCGCCTTCCAGTACAATTATCAGCAAATCTTTGACTGAAAGCTCCCAAGGCACGTGCTGGTTGTTGGCATACGCGCAAACCCAGTAAGCAGGGTTCCCGGTCAGCCCGCGTATCATGGCATGCTTGCGCAAGCAAGCCAGGAAGAGGTAGATGGGTTCCAGCCAGGCATGCAAACGAACCACAATGGCCGTTGCTCCCCCTCGCTTTCGGCTATCAGCCTGACACCGGCAAGGCGTACAATGTGAGTGAGTACACTAAGAGGCGCGATTCTGGATTTCCTGCCGAGGGGCTCCACATAGCTGATGCCTGGGCCACGGCGTCCAGCTGTTGCAGGCCTCAGGACCCAGTAGTCTGCATGATACCTTGGCTCGGGTGTTTGCATTTCACAAACCCTCCAAAACACCAAATGCAGGATCTTCTATAAGATGCCCAGGGCGCAGGTTAAATTTTTCAATGGACAGAGGCATGCCCAACTCGTCGCCAAAAGTGCCAGTCCACAGCGAGACCATGACTTGCACGAATTGAAGGAGCGACCCAATCTGCGGAATCGTTATGCCGCTGCCTGTTTTGCGGGAAGGAAATCAGGTCAGGCGGTCCAGGGCGATGGGAACACATGAACTACATCATATAACATGCTGCCAAAGATACGCTCTGGCGGGATTTTCAGCCTGGCTTTTGACGCATGCAGCTGCGAGTAGTTGGCGAGCGCTAACCTCAATATGACATATCTGCGCTAGCACGCCCCCTTCGCCCCAACGACCTCCCTCCGAAAAAGAAGGCCAAAACATGTGCTATAGAGGCCTGGGATGGTCGAGAGAACAGTTCCCCCGGTTTCCCCCGCTTACTACCCAAATGGTCTGAGGTTACCAAAGTGCAAGGTCAGAAGCCCAGTTCTCGGCACCTGAGGGTGCAGATTTAGAGAGGCATATGGCTTCTCTCAGTGTGATATAGGGGGGACTACGGAAGACTAGGGGCAGTCCCACAACGTTACTCACCAGTGTTTTCAAGTCCTAGAAGACCTGACAGGGACTGCTCAGACCCTCGAGATTTGAAGCATAGCAGGGCTTCACTCCCCGAGCCCCCAATAACCACCCCTCCACCTTTAAGCCCCGACCTGGTCTCTAGGTGCAAACTGTCGTGGGCCGCACGACACCAGCACGTTGCCATGCCAGGGCTGTTGGGGCAAACGTGCCTTCAGCTTGTCACCGATGCCGCCTGCGCAAATCTAGTCCGGCAGGGACGACTGAGTGTTTTCCTACCTGGACACAAATGGAACAAGTAAGAGGCACTGCTCTGTGAAGTATCTTCCTACTTTTGCGCGGCTCTGTACTTATTTGCTGCGGATCCTGCGGTGGAGCTCTCATCCCAGTCAACCCGCAGTGGTCCAACGCCACCGACGTGGACATGAGTTGCGGCCATGGCTCTGCAAGAGGGCACAACAAAATTGGGAGCTGCCTTCTGCAGCCCACGAATTAGGGATTAGGTTCGGCAAGGAGGAGCCCACTCACGAATGTATGTGATTCTTGTTGTTGCTTACATTCGCAGGTTTCTGACTCGCTCAGGGCGCCAAGCGTGTACCGTCTGTATACGATCTAGCCTGTGACCGCATGCCACGTGCCAGGGACAGCGCTTTCTGTTACTGCACTTGCTCCTCTCTGTCTGTTCAGCCAAGGCCGGTGGGAAAGCCGCGCAGTCTCTGAATCTGAGATGGCATGAGCATCCTAGCTTTCAAAACCTCTAAGCTCATAAGCTATACCAGGCCAGCAGCGGTGGCCTGTTAAGGGGATCATAAATGCTAGAAGCTATAAAGCTCAGATTCAATGGCAGTATCTCGAATGCATCAATGCGTTAACTGCTGATTCCATGATTATGCTCAGAAACAGCCCTCAGTACTTAGGGCTCTGGTCTTGAAATATCCTCATTTTCTGTTGGCTGCAACGATGCATGAGTCGTCCGGATTAAAGCCAGGGGCTTGTGGCTTCACTGAGCAGAAGTGACTTGCACTGAGGCTTCCCTTCAAGGAGCGCAAGTCTCTGATCTCCCTCACTGCCGGCGTATATAAAACGAGCAAAGATTTGAATATTGATGGTCTGGCCTTGCAAATTCTGCACTGGTGGCTGTGAAGACAGCCGGTTCCAGGGGTTATCAGCAAATTCTCTTGTGAAGAGATCTGCTGCCGTGTGAACCTCTTACGTATTTACAATTAGTGTGCTGTCTCCAACATTTCTCAACTTTGGCAAGCAGTATAAATGGCAACTTCTCTTTTGAAGAGATCTGTTGCCTTGTGAACCACCTTCGTAGCGTTTGAAGCACACCTGAGCCGGCATGCAGGTAGATTGTCTAGCAGCACACGCAGAACCTCTCGATGCTGACATGTGGCTGCTTCTAGGCAAAATTCGAATTGCAAGTTTTGGTCTACTTAAGATCGATGAGAGCACCGAATGAATGAAGAGTCGTATCAATAAAAGAGGCCCTTTGTATGCTGCGAGGCAAACTTTTCAGCGAATCGTAATTCGATTAATCGCCTTCGTTTAACGAAGGCAAAACATCTAGGGTCCTGTTCGGACCAGCCACAAAGCCAAAGCTACGTTCCAGGCTGGGCAACGCTTCAAACGTGCGGCGCATGCGCATCTGTTGCCGGCCGGCTGTTCGAAATGGCTTGAAGCTTAAAGCAGCATGGCATGTCATGTCTCAATACTGAAATTTTCGTCTTTTGATCACTCACACGTGTACACTCCCCAATCGGCTGTTTAGAAGCTTCTGTCATGACGAACATGATTGGCAGTGTGTTCACCGCAAGGAGCTGGACAGGCCAAATCGCATGCGTCTGGCGGAGGTCCGGCCTTGCACGGAATCCTGCAGTGGACGATTGCGTCTAAGCATCGAAGGCTTTGGCACAATCCTCTTCACGGAAGTGTGTGGGGCCACGTCACTCGAGCTTCGACCGGAACCGTCAACCTCCGACTCCGGCTCAATTTCCGGAAAGATGTCTGGGTCAACTTCCCGCTCAGGGTCCGGTATTGACAGCAGACTCTGCAGAGAGCTTCGCTGCAGTGGACGATTGCGTTTGAGCAGCGAAGGCTTTGGCACCATCCTCTTGTGAAGCTTCTTCCGAGGCCTCTTCGGTCTAAGAATGCCGATGAGGTGCGACTCCTCTGGCTCCTCTTCCACTTCAGTCGGCTCAGCTTGCATCTTAGTCACGGGTTGCTCGTCTTCTTCGGGGCTGTCTTCGTCCTCTTCGGCATCTTGATCATCATCTGCCACAGCAGCTGCTTCTTCCAAGAATCTGAAACGTTCTTCCGTCTTGGGAGCCAGGTCCACCTCATGGCGAGTGGTTTTAAATCTTGGATATGCTTCGAAGGAACGGGCGAGCTTTGTGTTTCGACTCTCCGACCTGACACAAACGACAAAGCTCGGCTTCCAATGCCTCTGCGTCCTCGTTCCCTGCCTTCCAACAGCGCATGATCGCCACGACCTGGCTTCCCAAACTGGGGAATGTGTCATGGCCTCAAGCGTACACGGAAGCATAAACAGTTCCACCCACCTGAGAGAGGTCTTGCAGGCTCAAGCTGCTGATGCCAAAGGTCTCGCTGAAATCTTCACCGAAGTGCTCCGTGAAGTATGCATCCACAGCCTTCTCGTAGATTTCTCGAATGCGCCAAGACCACCGATGGTGGAGCCCCATCTGCCTGATGTTGCCATCAGGTATATGGCATGCCCCTCAACGGAAGGGCCCCAGCATGATTGCAGAAAGACCGCTTTCACGTTACTGCCACTAGATAGTTTGAAAGTGATGGCGAGAAGCTGGAAACACCCCTCCGTGCCCCCGTGATGCAAAGGGACCTGAGCCTCGCATTAGGTATTCGTGTCTCACATAGATGAAACTCGAAAAGGTTGCAGGCCACACAAGAGCTGGGATCTCCAGGCTCTCAGATCCCTACATCCTCCAAGCTTCCCAATCCTAAAGAATCCCTCAGTCGTGATGACAGGTGTCAGGCACTCAGTCTGATATAGCTTATTATGATAGAGCGCGAAATGGTACGTTGAAGAATATGCACTAACAGTTATAGCATATCATACAATGGTTCAATATTGATTCTGCGTTCCAGTCTGCAGCAGTTGCTCGAGATCCGACCGGTCAAGGCAGTGGAGCGCAAAGGCCATGACGGCATAAGGAGCATCCTCCCATGATGGGGTTCTGGAAACCCTAAGTAAACCGAAAACCTAAACCCCCGAACTCTAAACCCCTGAACGAGGTCTCTCTGAAGTGCCTCCCACTTGCCCTAAAGCTTAAACACCCAAACCATGCAAACCCTAAATTGGCTCGGGTCTCAAGGAGCCGGGACCTGGGCATCGTCGAAGATGCTGTCCATCTGCAGGGATCGAGCCCGAGCCCAGCGCCCTTCGTCCAGGCGATGCCAGCGACCACTTCCTGGACTCTCGGCAAGCACCACACGGAGATTTCGACACTTTTTCGTATGTGACAGACAGTTACATCGGCTTCGAACTTAAAGCGCAGCTTCCGCCCATGGTCAGTGACACATTCAGCTCGAGGACCCGTATCGGGGTCAACTTCTGCAGCCTCCTCAAGAAAGAGAAGGCAGAAATCTCCACACTTTATGCAAAGTAGGCTGCGTAGATAAAGCAGAGAAACGAAATGTCGAAGTTGCTTAAACTGGTTGAATCAAAGCTCTTCTCAGGATGGTCCAACACCCTGGAAGACTCGGCGGGCTCGGCTTCTGGGGCGGGCAACGGCTCCCCCGTTTCGACGCCTCCCTGGAAGTCCAAGATATCCTTGGGCTGGCGGCAAGCTTATACGATGATGAACGTCCAGATTGAACATGAAACTGAAAGGAAAGCACCGCTGGATCCATCTTAGCGTCGCCATCTTTGCTCGATTCAACTTGGTGCTGCTGCGCAGGATCTTCACTGCTGTGAAGGCGAATAAAGACCAGGTGGAGCCTGGCGTCCTGCAGGGCCAGTCATGAGCTGGACCACTGGCGTGCGCTGTCATGGGGGGCATCCATTGCGTCTTCGAAGGAAGTCTTCGGTTCTTTTGGGAACAAGTTGCAAGCTTCACATCTTCAGTGCAAATTTTCAACCCATAAACCAACTTTGAAACAACCCACCGCCGCTGTTTCCGCACGTGGTTTTTGCCGAAACACGTGTCTCATGTAGGTGAAACGCTTGCTTTTGATTATATATAAATTTAATCCAAACCTTTTAAAGCAAAAACTCTATTTGTCCAAGGTTTCTGCGTGCTCGTTTCTTGCTATTTATTCGGGTGCACATTGTTTTCGGGCTTGCAAGCTTTGTTTTGGCTTGCACTGTCGGTTCATAGGATATTAAATCACCACCACCACCACTACCATCATCACAACCAATCAAGATCATCATCATGATCATCAGCAGCGAGAGCTCCTTTGAAGCCTGCTGCAGCGCAGCGCCCACAGCAGGTTCATCATCATCAGCGCCGGCAGCTCCGGAGGAGTCCGCGGCCTCCGTAGAATCCGTAGAAGCAGCTCCGGAGGAGTCCGCGGAGAGCGCAGCCTCCGTGGAAACCGACACAACTCCCGAGATCCATCATCATCATCATCATCATCATCATCATCACCACCATGGCCGTGGCCGTTGCTGCCATCATCTTCGCCATCAACATCAGCAGAACAATAAGAATGATAGTGACAATAACAACAACAACAACAGTAGTAGTAGTAACAATAGTAATGATAATCATCATCTTCTTCTTCATAGTAGTAGTAACAATAGAAATACGGCAGGGAGTTTGGGGGGTTAAGCGAGCTAAAGGGGACTTTTGTAGCGCCGCTAGCATAAACAACCCTTGAAACGCAACCTCCACAGCAGGAGGCCTCCTCGATCTCGGACGTTCGCATGGAACCAAACCTCACAAGAAGCGCTTGTATCGATGTCGTCGACACCTTCCGCCACCCCTCTTTCTAAGATTTTAAGGTCTAGGGCACTTGATGGTGTCCGGTGTTAGTGCTAGGGGGCTGCGGACTTTGGAACAGCGTCCAAGTCCCAAGGCCTGCGGAATCTCCGCAACAACCTCCAGCTGAACTCACATTTCAGTTGTCTGGCGACGAGTGTTTCGGTTCATCGTTGTTATAGTTGTAGTCGCAGTCTTCGAGGTGACGGTGCATTGATGATATGATTCTGCACTTCACAGAAGGTGCGATCCCGCTGCGCGACTGCTCCCAGTAACAGCGTACAGTGCTACAGCGTAACGATCAGAGAACACTATCACAGTTACCGTCCCTCTGAAAGTGCATGCAAGGTGCTTCCTGAGTTCCTCTAACAAATCCTGGCCACTTCCACGGATGAAGTTGAGCTCTACGATCAAGTCATCCTTGAGGAGCAATGGCATATTCAGCTTCCCACCGAATACCGGATGCTTCACCTTCAGCGCCCGTTCGGATGGGATGCACTTGAGCTCCTGGCAAGCGGATCAACCGGCCCAAAACCCTGAACCCTCAAAGGCTGAGCTGCTTTTAAACAACTTCTGTACCTGTTACATAACTCCCTGACCCCACAGACCTTGCAAAGGTCTGCACCAAGGACCACGTGGCGTTCCAGTCGCAGGCAGCCAGCAGGGGCAGCAGCTCTCAATACATGAGTGTAGGGATATGTCGCCTGTCAGCTCTGCAAGTCTAGGAAGCCGCGGGTATGCCCAGACCTTGAGCCCTGGATGCTAAGTCATGAATTCGATCAGCATCTGAGACCCTATTTTAGGAGTGAGGAGGGATACTCAGCTGCTTTTGAGTCCACATGATCTTCAGTGGACCGGGAAACTTCATAAGGCCTCCAGTCCGTGGCGCGCTGCTTTGAAGAGCTCCTGCTCCTCGCTGCCTGTTTCGTTGCGGTACTGGCAAGCCACATCAGCGTAGAGCCTGGCTTCTTGGAGGTTGATAGCTTGACAGGCTTGAGACTCAACATTCGTATTTGGGCTTCCTGTAGCTTCCCTGATGTCCAAGACGTCTGCAATGTCTACAATCTACAAGCGAAATGAGATCCGTGGGGTTCTTGCCCAGGCACTTCGTGAGGAAGCAGCACATGACGGCGTGGGTCGGGTTCTTTCCATGGAGCTCGAGGAAACTCCCGAGGACCCGATAGTTCTTGTCGTGCACGAGGCTCGTGATCAACTTCAGGTGGTGGAGGGCATCCTTGTCCCAGTTTGCATCTGGGGTCCGTGCCTTCACCAGCGGGTGTTGGCACTCCCTTGCATATTCGGCGATCGGCTGGATGTTGTGCATCAGGAACTCCAAGGATGCCCCGACAAAACCCATTGACTCAAAGCGCTGTCGCAGCTCATTCTTGAGCCCCTGAGTGGGAACCTCGTCAGGGTAATGGTCGCTCGCAGCATCCTACCCGAATGCTCAGCAAAGGCAGATGCGACGTGACAGGTGGGACAATCGGTTGCAAGGCTCTCTCCGCTGCGTGTAAAGTTAGCCTGACGCCTTGCGCATCCCTACACCGCTTGTTCTGCTTCACGGCGAGCCTGGTTGCCAGTCTGTGCAAACAGCGTCAGCGTCTTCACATCTCGCTGCTCTAATGCTGCCCAAAGCATGCGCAAACTCCGGGCTTTCTCTTCTTTCGTCCCCTTCTGCATCACTTCTGCCTTGGCGTCTGCAGCCCACTTCTCGACCACATGTTGCAACTGGCTCTAGTCAGTCGTGCCGGTCTCCGAATGGACACCGCCAGCCGGACCGGCTTTACCCTTCTGCATCACTTCTTCCTTGGCCTCTGCAGCCCCCTTCTCGACCATATGTTGCAACTGGCTCTGGTCAGTCGTGCCGATCTCCGAATGGACAACCACCGCCAGAGAGTCACTGCCAGCCGGACCGGCTTTACCCTTCTGCATCACATGTTCCTTGGCTTCTGCAGCCCCCTTCTCGACCGTGTGTTGCAACTGGCTTTGGTCAGTCGTGCCGGTCTCCGAATGGACAGCCATCAGACCGGGTTTAGAAGGAGACTGATCGACGCCAAAGAGCAGTACCTGCATTTCATCTGGTTGTACTGCAGGGCTGCTTCTGCAGCACTCTGTAACAGGGAGACTCTTTGAACGCTTCATGCAAAGAACGATGACCGGGATCACTGCATCTGCTGTCCCTGCAACACTACCCATGTAGGAGATGGTTCGCATCATTTTTTCTCCATCTGCAATCACTCCTAGACTATTTGACAAGTTCCATCAACACGTATGGAATACTGTTGACCTCAGTGTGATGTCGAGCAACCGGTCAATACGATGAAACATGCAGGGGCCGAAGGTTGGTTTTCTTTCGCAAGCAAAAAAAGTCCTGTTGTTGAGATTCCCCACGCCTGCTGAGCACGCTCCTCGAACATATCAGCCTTCATCTGCAACAGGTTCCGCATCGCGAGACGGATGCAGTTTTGGAACTTCTTCTGAATTAGTGCCTTGGCATCCTGGTTGAGGAGGTAGCTTGGGACCCTCTCCAAAACCGAGTCCGGCCAGATAAATTCCTGGGAAACCACCTTGAAGAAGGGAGCCTGCAAGTGGCCCTTATCCAAAAGATCTATGGATGCGTCGAGGACCTCTAGAACAGCCACTCGTGCTGTCATGCTGAGCTTGGTCACGTCCTGGGCACGTCTCCGTGAAGCATACAAGGCATCTCTCCACGACCTGCACAACTTGAGGACTGTGGCAATGCTGACTTCTTCGCCGATGGTCGTGCCATTCAACCAGGTCCACGCAATCTTGGAAGCCTTGAGGACCAGCTTCGGACTATCTTCTACATGCAGCTCTTCACACTTCAGAGTCCTACAAAGCTCTCGTCGAGTCTTGTCGGTCAACCTGTGGCAGAAGTCCAGAACTTCCACATCAGTGTTGCCCAGCAACAGCTTGTAGATGGGTGGCATGTCTCGACCCTCACGGCCATGGGCCAAAGCAACACCAGCTATGTCCAAAAATGACATGTTCAGCATCGTCTGGATACGGCGTACAAAGGAGGAGATAGACAAACCAGTTGTGTTATCCATCCCTTCAACAAAGCTGCCGGCCTCTGCCTGCGAAAAGCCATACTGGTTTTGCATCTCCTCCTTGATGCGCCTCTTGAAAGGATTCAGGAAGTCGGTCTCCAAGCCTGTTGACAGGGCGATGTCCTCCAAGAGTGAAACCTTGCCGGCAAGAAGGTAGGCAATCATGTCTTGCATATTCTGGCTATGCACCCTCTCAGCCAGCTTCTTGCCATCCTCCATTGGCAGCCCGCACTTCTTGTAGAGGACCGATGGCATCCTCTGCTGGAATCTCCTAGGCGCCCGAACAGAGATGCTGCGTAAACACAGTCATGTTTCTGCGGGGTGCGAGAAGCACGTGGGCCTGAGCGTTTCTTGAACATTCCGTTGAATCAGAAAACGATGTTGCCAAACTCATCTTGCATAGGAGGCAAACTTCACACCCTGCATGTGCTTGTGAAAGCTTATGCTGACTGCGAAAGCTTCGCCAACCTTACCCGAAAACGGCCCAACATCTAATCACAAACATGCATGGT